CCGAGGAGGTTACTCGTTTCCTCTGGTGTCACCTTTTAGGGATCACAGCTAATGTTTTCTGTAATACCTCTGTCTTTCTGTGCAGGTGTAAATAACACTTGTGGAATAGATGCCATGAATCCCTCTTCAAAAGATGACTTTACGGAATTTGGCAAACTACTAAAAGAGAAAATTACACAGTATGAAAAATCATTACATTATGCCAGTTTTTTGGAAGCATTAGTTCGAGACGTATGTATTTCATGTAAGTTAAGTTAAGCAAAAGACATCCAAGAATACACTGCTACCAAAATTGTACTGGAGTTGAAGTCAAAAACATGCTGTTATAGTAAACGTTAAATCACAATTGATCTGTGTAGTTTGTACTAAATGAAGAACTACTCTGTTCCACTGACTAGTATCTAATTCCGTTCCAACAAACTTTATTACAAATTGCGTGCTTGTGCAAGAGTGACTTTTTCTGCATGTCAGTTAAAGGCAGTCACTTTAAAAAGTGAGAATTTTTATGCCGATCTAAATCTTGCATGTTTCTCTTCAAGCCATTTCTAAAATAATAATAAAAAAAAAATTCTCTGGGCCAGGTAACTTGAGTAGCTCATTTGGAAGGAAACTATTACAACATTGAGTTCATGTCATTCTGGGACTGCAAAAATAAATTGTTCTGGAATTCAACACGTAACTAGACAGAGATAAAACCAACTTTAAACTGATTTTTTACCATTGCTCTGGTAGGCTGAAATACTTGGTGAGCTCACTGCTTGCGGTCTTTTCCTGACCGTACACATGCTGTCCTTCAGGGAAGCGGTAACTTGATAGGATTGAGTGCTGTGTGAATAGAGCGATCGCTGGCAGACTGGAGCTGGTAACTTACGTGCCCGATGGATTCCAGATCTGAAGTGAAGGACTCGCAACCTCTTGGACGGTTTATTGTTAATAATAATGATCTACGGCTAATCCACTGCTCCTTTTGATAGGTTTTACTGTGTTTTGGTGTATCCTTATTTTACTGTTCAGAGGCCTCCTTATTAAGACTTTTGTGTTCACCAACTCTTAATCTGCAAAGTTTTACCTTCTACAACGTTCAAGCTGCTTCCCAGGGACCATCTGAAGTAGTAATTGTGACTATAAGGACCAGAATTGCCCAGTCTGTGTTCTGCTGATTTAAGTCAAGTAATTGCCCGGACTTATTACTAATGCTTATTTCTAGTTTTTAGAGAATGTTGATGTTCGATTATTTAACTGCCTTCTAAGAACAATACTGACAAGGAATCTTTTTCTTTTTCTCCCCCTCGCCCCTGATGTAGTGGAAATTGACGATTTGAAAAAGATCACAAATACTTTGACAGTACTATGCAGTGAAAAACAAAAACAAGAAAAGGTAAGAAAGACTTGTGTGTGTTTCTGCAGCAACGACAATACCCGTGCAAGGGGCTAATCTGGAAAATGGCAATAGGTTTAACACCGACTTGAACTGCTGCTTTTGTTATCGGTGGTAGTGGGAGATTAAATGATAACCTTGGATACTGGTTTAGCGTTCAGTCCTCTTCACTGTGTGAGGTAATCAGGAGTTGATTGAATCTAGAGATCACAGGCAAAACCTTGATTAATTTACATAAATGTTCCCTACCTGCTAACCTTGCTCCATTTTATGCTGTTTTGGAGTCAAAGTGGCTTACACAGATATCCTCAAGCCGGCCTCGTTTAGAGTTAAGTGTCAGTGTAATACCAGTCTATGGAAGTCACTTAAATTTTTGCCAGAGTTTGGGACTTAGAATAGCAGATAACTGGGATTTTTACGCTGTCATGCAAACTAAAGGAGCAGTAAGAGCATAGGCAAGGAAGAGGGTAAGTTTTAAAAGGCGATGTAATAGCTTAACTGATGCACAACTTAACATTGTGTTTTATAGCATACATCTATGTTAGAACTCCAGGTGGGTTGGAGCTCAGTGATAATTGAATCATTAGCTAGCAACAAAATCAAGCAGGAAGTATGACTACTAGTGCAGTTCTTTTGGTATGTTTTAAATGGAATTGGAGGATTGTTAGGAAACAAATGGCAGAGCGTTGTCAATGTGAGTAGTAACTTGTAAATGTAAAATGGGAAACCTCTTGGCCAGAAACCGTTCCAGCAGTGGGTGTTCTTTGGTGCCAGTTCCAACTCCCCGGGCATGAGTGAAGCACCTCAATGCAACACAAACTTTCGGTCCAGTGTTCAGGCATCAAGTCTGGAGTTGGCAAATGTGATAAACTGTGCGTTTAATGTGAACAGCACTTTGGAGAGAAGCCTGTGACTTCCTGAACCAAACAAGTTTAAAAAGAAAAATACGTGTACTTCCTATTTTTATACTCTTCTCTCCTGGCTTTTCATGTAAATTAGTTTGGTCAACCACTAAAAGCTACAAGTCCAGTGAGGAAGAGCTTTATTTACCATGAAATGCGCTGTCAAGTTTGTTTAGGACTTCCATTTTTTTTGCAAGGAAGATATTCAGCCACTATGGTACTAAAAGCCACATTAAATTCCCCAAAACCAAACACTAGACTCTGCATTTACTTAGCTATTCTACTTGTTTAGAGTCTGGGTAAAATAGGATGAAAGACAGGACATGGGCAGGTACATGACGGAGGGAGCCGTGTGACACTTGCAGGTGTCATCGCTTGGCTGTGCGTAGGTGGCACGGTGGGAGGAAACGCGGGGTACAAACCATTGGCAAGAGTGCGTTCACCGCGAGGTGTGCGACTGGTCGCACCCCACGCCGTGTGGCATTACTTCACTTACAGTAATGACAAATTACTGTGAATTTTAAAGTAAACATGCTCTTCCTATTTAAGCAGAATAAAGCCAAAAAGAAGAAAAAAGGCGTTGTGCCTGGTGGTGGTTTAAAGGCTACTATGAAAGATGACCTGGCTGATTACGGAGGATACGATGGAGAATACGTACAAGACTTTGAAGACTTCATGTGACATTTATCTCCCTTTCTGTTGTCTTTCTGTTGCCCATAATCCCTTAAACATGTAGCACAACTTTTCTTCCTTTAAATTCTGCCAAATGCTACAATCAAAATTGCAGTATCTCTGTGCTGGGGGTTTAACTCTTGTCGGGCCTGTGCTAAAGCACTGGGCTTCCTCTTCTGTGGTCGGGGGTTAGAATGAAGACATTTAAAAGTTATGGTAATTGCAGGTAAAAAAAAAAAAAAAAGAAACACAAAATTCTGATAACGGTAACTGTTGCTATTTGATTTTATAGTAACAGCCACTACATTGGACAGGAATTTCAACACGGCAAAGTATTATTACCCGCACAGTTCAGTGACACGGCCTTAACTGTACCTCCTTGAATGACTTGTTTGATGAACAAAAGCAGTTTGCAGCAAGGGCATGGTGTGCACTTAGTATTACAATTGCTTTGTCTTAAGTTAGAGCTTGAGGTTTTCAGTATATTGTGAAGGGGAACTGCTAACTTCAGAGTGAGGATACTGCACCTGGGAACGCATCAGTTGGGACACCCACTGCATCAAAGCTTGACATCGAAACAACGCTTTGTGGGTCAGAACAAGGAAAGAGTTGCTTATTTGGAAAAAAAAAGACTTGGGTCTTGAGTATGAAGTTTAGTTTCCATTCATCTAAATTTCTACTAATGCAGCTGTATGGGTTGGGTATTCTTTAACAGTTAATTACCTGGTTTAAGTGTAAAAAAAAAAAAAAAAAGAAAAAAAAAAAGAAAAACCAAAACAAGACTTTCTTTTGGTCTCTCATGGGTTGTGGTAAATCTTTCACGACTCAGCCATTTTCTTTCATTTAAAAAAAAAAACTTGCTTAGCAAACTGCAACAGTTACTACAGTTGGGCAAATTGTTATGTTAACAATTATGACATCTGCAATGTTTTATAAAGCAACTAATTTAATAAAAATCACTATTGAGGACTTCACTACGGCTGTCTTTGGACCAGTTCTTTTAGTATCTTACAGTAAAAATACTTGCAAGTGGTAGAGTTGCCGAACGGAGGTGTGCTGGGTGTGTGGCGCTGGGTCTTGTCTTTGCTCTGGTGTTAAGAGGGGCAAGATTCCCTTCTTGTAAAATAGCTGTTTCTTGTGGGAAGCCCCTTACAGATGCTGACGGTAAACACAATCCAAGCATTTCCCTTCATCTTCCTCTGTTGCTGGAACTGCTCAGCTCGGTGGCTTGTACTTACCTTGGGAATAGTTTAGGGTGGCCCTTATCAGTGCACTGTTGTTTTATTACATGGGCCCCCTGCCGTTACCACAGGCATTCCCGCCTTTACAACTCGCGGTTTACTCGGGTGTTTGGTCCCAACATGGCTGGGATACATCTCTGCTTCCACCAGGCAGACGTTCTTCCAGATCCTTCCCATTGTTAGTGGTACCCCAATTTTTAAAGGATGAGGCACGGCCTTCTCAGAAGCATAGCTTGAGGTTCTCCTTTCGTGCCGGGAACGTTCCAAGCTAAAAGCTACCTAGCTGTTATCCTCAGAAGCATAGCTTGAGGTTCTCCTTTCATGCCAGGAACGTTCAAGCTAAAAGCTACCTAGCTGTTATTTAACTTAGACTAAGCACAGCCAACTCGGACTAATTTGGTTTTATGCGACTGTCTAGAACTGGAAGTTTAAATGGTGTTCTGCTCAGGCACAACCCTCCCTACGTAAAATGTTTTATTTATCAAAGAGGCTGTGACTTGTGCTACCTGTCCTTGTGTACAACTTCTAGCGCTGCCCTTGCAGGCTGTGCAAGTATTTGTCATACGCAGCGGTTGCTAGCATGAAAACGTTCAGCAACCAAATGGACACTGGAAGCTACAAATCCAAGTTAGCATCTCTCTGCTAATTAACTGGGTTGCTATGGCAATTGTATTTTTCCTAGGATAATGTTTGGCGGTAGTACGCTATCATTGCTTAATGTTACTCAAAAGCTGTCTGTATGCTACAGTCAGTTGTCAGCCCTGCCCACCCCCCTGTTTTGGACAGGGGGCAACGTCTTTGGATTAGCTGGAAGCTCTGCTGGCTGTGTTTATTTTGGCGGGGATACAGAATCCAAGCTGAAATGGTTTCTGCCTGAAGCAGTGTCCAAGTCTTATCCCCCTCCCTGGTTAAATCAGACCCAATTTTGTAAACTTGCCAACACAGCCAAGTGGCAGAGCACTCCGGTTGCTAGCTCCTGCCAGGGCATCCATACCAACTGTTGGCCCAGCAGGATGGTCTAAGGAGTTAAAATGTAATAACTGTAAGAATACATCTGCACGTCATTACTTCCTTTACACCAAGACAGTAGCAAATTAAGTATATGCTGTTCAGGGTTGTACAAGATTTTCGCTTTATCACGAAGCTAGAAAACAAAACCAGTCTGATCAGACTGCAATCAAAGAGGGGCTTATCCTAGCGTGTATCTGAAACTTCCCAAGGAATTTACTAACTCTCCTGCTTATTCCACTGTCAAAGTACAGGATATCCTGCACGTTCTCTTCCAGCCTTTTGTTGGTTTCGATACAATTCCCGTGGTGACCCATCACCCACACCCCGGACTTACAGGACTGCTGGATCTCTGGTTCACCATCAGCTGTGCCGGTCTGTATTTGCTGGTTAGTCAGGTATTTTGTAAACAGTAAGATTTATTATACAAAACACAATTTCAGGTTAACACAGTCAGGGCATTTTAAATGCTTAAATTTAAACCACCATCAATTTTCTGAAGTAACTTTCACATAGCAGCATATCATTGTAAGCAGGTAATAAAAATCTCTGTTACAGAATTGGTACTAACCATGCAAGAAGCTGTGGCACTGGTGCTTGTCAGAGCCAGTCTCTGCTTCGGGGCGGCTGGAGTCTAGGTTGATAACATATCATTAAGGCAGCAGCCAGTCTGTGCATCCTTCAGAAGCGTATTTACCACATCGTAGAACTTGTTATCGTACGCCAACCTGTAGTATGTGTAGATATCCTCACAGTAAGTGAGCAGTTTCTTCAGGTTTTTCAGCGCAGCATCAGTAGGTGGGTGGTGTTTAACTCTGAAAATAATTGGTACATACAATTGAAATAGAAAGGCTTCACAGGCAGCAGTTATAAGACTACCTTGCTATAGACCTGTAAGAGCTACATGTCTTAAAAAGTGGTTGTGTGCAATATGTACATTTGATTCTCTTGTTTGTTTATTTTGCTCTGATTCCTTTTAAAAAAGATTTGATCTGACCAGCCCTAAGGCACCCCATTTATCCAGCTCAATAACAATGGTAGATCTGGTGTGTGGTAGATCCACAATATGCTTAAGAAACTAAACCTAGATCTCAGGTCCCTATATACTACACTTTATCATGTAAAAGGTTTTAACAGTACCAAGACTTGCATGCTATTAAGCATGCAGTTGCTCCTCTAAAGTAGCCTGTGGAAAGGAAAGTTCCAATTTGACCACAGAATGACTTACTTCTTAGCAATCTCCTCAAATATGCCAGGCTTCAGTGGTCTTTGTTGTTTAAATTCTTCTAAGTAAGTGAAGTCTCCCCTGGTGATCACTTGTTGATACAGAACTTCAGCCCAATCTGGAACAAACTCATAAGCCTCAGCCACAATAGCGGCCTGCAGGGAGAACAGATGCTGGAATTACTGAGCAGGAAAGAGGTTCTTCTTGCACAGAAACATTCCTATACTTAGAATACTTAAAATATTCTAGGGCTTCTGTTTGGCCCATCTCTTAATGCTTTTCTTGAGAGCAGCTGTATTACAGAGAAATACAAGGGTAACAAATTATTGCAAATAATATTCCTTAACCCCTAAACAAGATGTCAGAGGGGGGTGGTTTGTTCTCTTTAAAAAGCCCTTCTCTTTCTTATTTCCAAATTTCCAAAATGATGGATGCCAACGTAGATTAGATATCAGAGCTCTAGTGGAGATGCACAGCAGCATGAGAGCCGCTGGATAACCGAGGTCCCGGCTGTACAACGGTGGCGAGGACTGCTAAAAGCATCGGTCTGCACCAGGACTGTGCTTGCGTTTCCAAGCTTGGTCCCATCTGCAGCAATATCATGGATAATACTCACGGGACTTGGTGGCCACGTGGAAGAGCTGAATATTATGCAGGAGCAAGTGCTCAAGGTACCTGCTGTTTAAAACAATCATTTTCAGAAAAAATAGGAGATGAGGAAGCCACGCTTACCTGATAGAACCTAGGCAAGGACATGATGGAGTCCATCAGGTTCTGCCTGTTCAGGTTGATCAGCATAGTGCTCTGGCCAGTGTTGAGAAAATGCAGCTGGAGCGTTATCAGCTTTGTTAGCCGACTGCAGCGCAAGGACTGGCGGACACAGGAGTCCTGTGTAATAAATCAGAGACAAATGCAAGCTTCTGAAGCATGTTTCTAGAGGAAAGTAAATATTCCCGAGAGCAACAATGAGTTCAGAGTTGTCTAGTTTTCACTTTTAGATCACTGCAGTTTTATCACTGATCATGTTCCATTCATTTTAAATGATGCTTCACTCACCACAAATAGTACTTTCATCATAATCATGCCAGTTTTTAAACACTCTTTATATTGTTCTATTCTTGCTAGTTAAGCTCATGGTCACTCCTCTAAAACTGGAGAACCTAATTGTAACCCTAGCTGTTAAAGCCTGAACAGTGAACAGCGTGCTGCTCTCGGACACACCAGCGTTCCTGAGACTGCAGGGATACTGCTGAGCTGACAGACCAGGAGATCCCTTCGCTCCTTTTCTACTGGGACAGGATTCTGCACACTCTCCCTACACCAGCTTTCTTTGCTCTCCCAGTTCAGCTCACTCCTCATTTGCCCCCAGTGCTGCACAGAAGTCATATAATTCCAACTCGTTTTACCTTAGAATAACTTTCTGCTGCGTCAATAAAGAGAGTCAGAGCTTTCATCAGCAGTTTCTTTAAATTTGCAACATCCTGAAGAGACTCCTCTGAAATGGGGAGAAAAAAAGAATAACCGATTATTTATAAAGATGACAAAGGAAGTTACAAAAATACCTCCTGGTACCCAGTCTGTCCCTAGTGGTGTTTCAGCAAGCAACAAAAGACAAAAAAAAAATTTTGT